AAAGTCTTCTCAAAAGTGAATAATTATATTTCAGGATTTTTGCAATTTAACATTATTTTTTTTTTTGAAAGAGTAAAACCAAATTTGGTAGATTTTCACACTTTTATTTTAAAAATAAAAATTTTTAAATTTTTTTTTTTTTTTTTTTTTTATTAAAAAAAAACACTAACATGACATATGTTTCGAAGTACAACTTCTTTTTCAAATGTGACTATTTACAATTCGGTATCCAATATATATACGAAATAATTTAACAAAACAAAGTACTTAAGAAAACATCAATAACATTACAAAATAAACTAACTATTTAAAGTAAATAAGGGTACTTAGGTAATTATAATATCCATCAAATAACAATAAGATAGTCCATTACCGGGATTATCTCACAGAAAACTGGGAAAGAGATTTAATAAGGGTGAATTATTAATATCTAATTGATCATTTAGTAAGTTATCTGAATTTTTAAATCTATTTATTTCAAGTGTTTCTAAATGGTTTAATTTAAGGCTCTTATTTTCTACATGTAAAATTTCAAAGTTGTCTGTAAAAGAATGATTTTCAGCTAAAATATGATTTGAGTAAGTAGAATTATTTTTGTCTTTTTGTATAGCTATTATAATGTTCGGAATAGCGTTTTTTGAAAGTACGGCCTGTTTGACCAATATACAATTTTGGACAACTACCACAATTTAATTTATATACCCCCGATTTATTATTAGGATTAATTTTACCCTTATTGTTTTTAATATACTTCCCAAGCGTATTATTGCTTTTAAAAGCTACGTTAATATTTTGGTTTTTTAAATATGATGATACCTTTTCACTAGGAGCTCCTATATATGTAAGACTCTTATATCTGCAATTTGGATCTTTAGTTATGGGATAAACTTGTTGAATAGCCTGTTTAAAAAGTTTTTTCTCTAAAATGTTGTCTACTAACTTTGAATTAAAATTATTATTTACTGCGATTTGTTTAATGATATTTAATTCTTTTGTGAAGTTCTCTTTGGTAAGGGGAATATTAACTAATCTATGGATCATACTGTTGTATGCTGCCAGCTTTTGTTTGTATGGATGAGATGAACTATTATTTATTGTAATATCCGTATGTGATGGCTTATGAAATATCCCAAAACTATGGCCTTTATTATTTTTAATAATATTTAAGTCTAAAAAATTAATTGAATTATCCTTCTCTGTTTCCATAGTAAATTTAATATTAGGGTGTATAGTATTGATAAAAACTAATAAAGAATTTAACTGTCTACTAGTACCAGTAAAAGCAGTCAATATATCATCAACATATCTATGCCAATACAGACAATGTTTACTTAAATTATTGCTATGAATTTTATTTTCTATATTATCCATAAATATTTCTGCAAGCAACGGGCTTAATGGGTTCCCCATAATAAGACCTTCATTTGCTGAGTAGATGTTATTTTGAAATTGAAAATAATTTTGTTCTAGGCAAATGTTTAACAAATTTAGGATTTCTTCTTTTATTATAATATTGACTTGATGACGATCTAATAAGTTTTCTACTAGCTTAACTGTTTCTTTAGGAGGTATACTAGGAAATAAGTTTGTTAAATCGAACGATACTAATTTTGTGTTACTAGGTAATTTAATGTTTTTTAATTTTTCTGTTAATTCATAAGAATTTTTTATACTATACTTTGAATTGAATTTGCAGTTTTCTTGTATAAGTTTAATTAATGTGTGTGAAAGTTTAACTGATGGAGCCGTGGCAAATGACACAACTGGTCTAATAGGATAGTTCTCTTTGTGTAATTTTATTAAAGAATAAAGTTGTGGTGGTTGAGGGTTCATTTGTATTAGTTTGAAATTAATTGCAAAAGATTTTGTTGCCCAAGATTTTCCTAAATAGTCTTTCAACAATTTCTTTATTTCCAAAATTTTCCAAAACAATATATTCTTCTTCCTCGTAATCAAATTTTTGTTCTCGAGCATTATTCTCGGTTTGCTGTTGTTTAATTAATTTAATATTTTCGACTTAATTCTGTGCTTTCATGTATTGGAGTCTTCTTGGGAGCTTCTTTTTATTACGAGGGCAATCAGGAGGATTCTCTTTTTACTTTCCTATCTGTATACAGATAGATATAAGGAAAGTATAGGAATCATGATTTTTTTCGACCCCCAGTTTTAGACGGATTTTTACGTTTTGGGGTCCCCTAAATCCGTTTTGACTATTTTCGGGATGATGTCTGTGTCTGTGTCTGTGTGTGTGTGTGTGTGTGTGTGGGTGTGAGTGCGTGCGTGCGTGCGTGCGTGCGTGCGTGCTTGCGTGCGCGCGCGTGCGCGCGCGTGTGTGTGTGTGTGTATGTGTGTGTGTCTGTATCCACCATAACTCATGAACCGATACAACGAAAACACCAAATTTTATACTTATGCTTTATTCCGGCCTGCGGTGAACTGACTAGATTTTGGACAGAGTCTGAACATTTGGGGGGGGTACTTTATTGGTGGTTTTTTTATATTTTATGGAATATATTCCTTATTTACGTTTGGAGAAGAAAATTCTTCAAATAAAAATTACTTACAATATTATTATCTATAATGTTTTTTTTATAAAATTTTTCTAAAATGGTTCGTATTCGAGAAATTTGACAAAATGTAAAAAAATTAATTTTTTTTTAAAAATTGTTTAAATAAAAGTTGTTTGTAATATAATTCTCTATAATTATTTTTTTACATAATTTCTCTAAAATGGACTGTATTCGAGATATTTGAGAAAATGTGTAAATTTCGAATTTTCAAGAAAACTCAAAAACGGATATAGGAAAAAACATTAAATTTTAAAGTTTTATTTCGGCATGAGGTGAAATAATTACATTTTGGACGAATGCGGAACTTATGGGGGGGGGGTACTTTATGGGAAGCCGTTCTTATATTTTATGGAATATATATTATAGAAAAATGTGTGGAGTTAAGAGTTATGTGGAAAATGTATATATTTAGTTTATCCTCTAAACATTTATAGAGGTGCTGCAATAGGTTGTACAAAATAACCAGAAAAAACCTATAATGGATAGATAGGAAAGTCATGTGTTGGACACATCAGATTTTTACTGTTTATGTATGTACAACTTTGTTGACAACGAGAAGATCTAGAAAGAGCTAAAGAAGCTTCATCACGGGCAGTGATGACTTTTATAACTTTTACACTTTAAATTTATGAAAATGATAAATGCGCTAAGAAAAATTGTGCATGGAACTAAATTAATAAACATATTATTTATGTTTCTGGAAAAAAAAATTGTTATATTGTATGTGTACAGGGCCGCCGAGAGGGGGGCTGGCGGGACAAATTTCTAGAGCCAGTGCACAAGGGTGGGGCGGCAGCGGCACAAGGGGGGCCCGGCAGCTTTAGGTGAGGACGTTTTATTTTTTAGAAGTTCGCCACAAAAGGGAGAAGCGCTGGTTTACGTAAAATACAAGACGAGGACCTGAGGACCTTTTTAGAGATTTTACTAAAAAGGATCTAACGTTTTACTTGAGGATCTTTTGTTTTTTTTTTCTCAGAAATGTGATATCAAGAGGGCTTAATTAGTTTTTATAAAATTGTCCCGGGGACCCACTTGGCTCTTTGCGGCCCTGTATGTGTAAAATGAAAAAGAGCTCAATTAATGTTAATGACAAGTTGAAATTAAACATTGTGTTCGATTAACCAAACCATAACTACAACTTAACAAAAAAGTGGTACGTACGCTAATGTCAATGGCAATTTTAGGTTAGAAACAACTATGACGTATTAATTAAAATTTAACGTAAAATACATATTACTTAGACCTATTAAATAAATGATATTACGATAATGTACTAATTTTTAAAAAGTCGTTTTTAGTAGTCTTTGAGCATCCACAAGCACTACAACTGACCATTGTCTTTTTTACTTCATTTATTGCACTAAGATTATGTATTATTGAACTAAAATAAGAACTTAATTAATAACTATTCTATTATCGACTAAAAATGGTTCAACAACTAATAACTTGCAAAATATAATACAACAACCAACTTTCAAATGACAAATAAACAATCAATGAGTCATAAATGGTTGTCCAAAATGGCCGACTTTGTCACGTACGTTTTCTATTGGAAATATGGCATATACTCCTTGCTTACTACTTTATATTCTAAGGCTAGAGCCTCTCAAACTTTGTTTTTTTTTCGACTTTTATGGTGTTTACCTTGATACCATTTTAATTCTTATATTTTTACATTAAATTTGATTTTTATTCAATAAAAAAAGTATTTTAAGGTAATTCAATATTTTTGTTATGTATGTGTAAAACTGTGATTTCATAAACAAAGTCACAACATTGGAAAAAAATTGGTTAATTTGTAAATAAAAATATTTTACAATTAAAAGAATATATGTTTTTTACGCTACAATGCAACTGGAAAAGAAATGGAATCTGCTTCACAATACATTTTATCTACACTTTATCGGGTAAAGATAAATAAAACCTTGATTTTTTGCCTAATATCAAAAAGTGCAAATACTAAATCTGCTGTCATCGGTCGCGTCTTCCGAAATGTGTTTTACAGAATAACATGGCTCAGACGTGAAGAGACTGTGTTCGGTTTCCCTCGCTGTCGTCTTACACTTGAAGTCGGTCTCGGGTCGCACCCTCCCAAATGGTAGCTTGAAGCTCTCAATATTGCCAGGACACATAATGTCATAAAATATTCCCAGTGGCACGCATATAGATACAATTTTATAATAGAAAATCCTTAAAATATTTTTGCTTTCGCGAGATGTCCAGTTTGCTCTTAAATATGAATCACTTGTACACTTTACTGTTAGGGTTGCCAGATGTGTTACAAAAAAAACCGGACATCCGGACAACCATATTAAAAAATAAACTTCAAAAAATTATATATTTTATTAAAAAATATAATAACATGAGGTCAGATTCATAACATAAAAATCATAAAAGTGCAAATCATACAAAAAACAAATCAAAGTTAGACTACTTTTTAAAATATTTTGCATTAGATGCCGCCGATATGTAATCTTTAAATTCAGTGCAACTGCTATTGATGTTAAAGAAAACGCAAAGTTCGCTTTTCACACTTTCTAGGGATAGACGATTTCTTTCGTCTGTCCAATTACTTCCCACAACGCTAAATATCCATTCAACAAAAGCATTGGGTATAGGAATGCTGCAAACATATTGAACTATTTTGAGCAAATTTGCTGCTGCTTCATTCCTGAAAAATGTACACCACATATCCACTGTTTTTCCTTCAAGTGCAGGAAAAACAGTTTGTAATGCAGCCAGTTCTTCATACATGTTTTCAGGTGGGGGTTCCTGTTTCCAGGGAGAAATTAACCACAAATCAATCAATTGATCCAACGTAGGCAATATTCCAGTTTCTAGGTCTAAACAACTAAAATTATTGAAATTATTACTTCTTCGGTAAACATTTAGAACATTTTTCATAAATTGTTTTGACTGATAGTCTGAAAGATAGCCTAACCTCAATGCCAAATGTATTTTAATTCTAACAATAACATTTTTAATTTTTTCTCAAATGACACGAATTTTTATAAATTCAACAGAAAAACGGACTTTCTCTTGTCCGGTTTATCAAGTTTTTTTCAACCGGACGTGCAACAGAAAAACCGGACAGTCCGGTCGAAAACCGGACATCTGGCAACCCTATTTACTGTACTGACCTGTATGCGATATTATTGTGAGTTATAATTAACATCGTATTAATGTTTGTCACAGGAAGTAACTAAAAATAAGTACAAAAGATGTTTATATAACTGCTAATTCGAGTGTTCCAGCGTACATAAAACTTCATGTGTAGATACGAGGCGGGGGATGGTAATGAATATGATGTTACTGGTTTTTTTCTATTTTTGAACCCTTGTATAATATATATTTATGCTTTAAGTATATTTTTTCGTATATATCGTTTTAATACTCACCCCTTATAATATACATACCTATAAAAAAAATTTTAAAATCTCATCATTCAGTTTGGAGTACGACAATTTTTAATATTTATGTTATATTTCTTATGAAAATTTGTGAATGCCGTATAGTTATTAATGACCTTAAAATGTAGTACAAATCTAATGAAAAATATTATCGGTTAAGTAATATCTATTAGTTAAAAAAGTACGGCATTGGTTTTTCTTTATATTTCTAGTTATAAATAATTAATAACAGCCATATTATTTGATATATAACATTCATAATATATCACAGAGTATTTTAAAAATACTGCAAATTTTAAAGATTTTATTTCGAATTTTTAATATGTAGCTACCAATAATTGAATCGGTGAGTCAAAGAACAGTACTAGTCCAAAAATGGCATTCTGAGTAAATAAAAAAAAAAATTAAATAACTATTTTGTTATTTGACATATAAATTTGATGTGTACATATCAAATGTAAAGCTATTTAAGATGAGTGTAAGAGATTATGTTTCAACTATTAAAAAGGGTTTGTATCTGAAATATTTAAAAAAATAAATTGTGGACATGTACTGTTTTTTAAGTCAATTACATAGTTTATATTTTATTTTTAGTAGCCTCTATTTTATAAATAATGCAAGGTTGACAAATAAACTATTATAACATATTATTGTAAAACACATGCACGTAGCTGGGAGGAGGGGTCCGGGGTGTCCCCACCACCACTCAGCATACACTTCTTCGGTTTCATGGATTGCATATGTGGGCCAGGAGGTGACGTGATAGTAAAATTCCAGCAATTCTCCTGTAATATATTGCATTACCTTTTTTACGGCATTAATTTTTTTTACATTTATTGGAATTTGTTGTTCGTATGCGCATTTGGTAGGAAGGGGGTGGACAATTTTTATTTTGCTTCATTATTTTAAAGCTATGAGATACTAGACCACCTATATATTCATAAGTTTTCACATATCCACTGGTGGCATATACAAACTGCCTATAATTTGACAGAGAAAACTCTTCATTGCTTCCTCCAGCAGTTGTATTTTTTTTTTGAAAAACTGAGGTCACTAATTTTTAAAATCTAAAATATCTCCGCAGGTAATTTTTTATTGGTAAATGATTTGATTTGTCGAAATGACGATATCATTTCCTCCTATTTTTCTGGAATATATACACGATCGCATCTTCTAACGCATCATTTTAGTACTCTAAAATCCCTATCACAGGGCAAGAATGAGTAGTCTCTGTTCGGAAAATATTGAAAGATTTTTTTAGAACGTGTTGTTGCTACTATTTTGAAGAGAAAATTAACAGAATCAACTCTCACAGAGCGATTTTCGAAACTTCTAAAATAATATTCAAAACATCAACTTTAAGTAACAGTAATGAGTGTAAAAACAGTACATGTCCTGGACTTGTACTGTTCTTCCACTCATTCAGTTTCAACGTAATTTATACTGCCGAATCTATTGTGTGCATTGCAATGTTTTTAATCTCAATGAGTGGAGACACATGTTAATATCAATTTGGCTATCTTAACTCAAAACGTCATTTTTTGGACTAGTACTGTTCTTTGACTCACTGATTCAATTATAACCGGCTATGATTAAGTACGATAGTTTTTAGTAATATTTTATCACAAAGTGGTTGGCGTACAGGAATTAAACATCCTATCGAAAAAGAAAAAACAAAATTAAATTAAATTCCAAAATAGAAATAATTGTTTATAAACGTTTGCACTAACCATAGTTTTCAGACTGCATACTTTCTGAAAATTATTTTTAAACTTTAATAGTCTTATGGAATTGATGCCGTACATTTTTCAATTACTTGAAACTGTGGGGGCTAAAATAGTGTGTTGCGCCCTGCATTTCTACACAGAAAAAAATTATCGTCTACATTCAAGAAAAGCTTTACACTTGGAAGATTACATTTGTTTAAAATAAAGCAAAGTTTGCTTCAAATAATATTTCTCGATACAATAAGAAAATAAATGTTGAGTGAAGCATAGGCATAATCTTGTATTTTAAGAGTTATAATAATGAATCTGAGAATAAATTATTTCATTTGAGTATAGAATTGTGAATTAACCCAAGAAAGCTCTTACGTTTATTGTAAGTATGATATTCTCTTAAAACCGACTATTGCGTACTTGATTCAATGTTATAAAAGGGTTCGATTCAAAGCATATAAATTTTAGAACAAGAATTAAACAATTCGAATCAACAACCTATGTACTTCACAAAAGATTAGCTTATACAAATTCACTGCACGGTGTTGCCAGCTAAAACTTATTTTAAAATGTAACCTCTGCACTGATACGGTAGATATATGACTGGTACATGTTATGATGTGATACTTAATATTCGGAAGTCAGAGACACAACGCATTTATAAAGAATCTGGCAAGTTGGCATTAGCACGTGTTCATCCTCTTGTTCATTTTCTAACATGTTTGCATGGTATCGTTAGGGTTGCGTTTTACTTTTTGTTAGAAATTCTTTGTGATTTAATTATTAAGTGTATGAATAAATTAAATTGAAATGGAATATTTGTTAAATGAATGGGGCCTCAGCGACCTGATACCAATATTTAAATGTAAGTATATTTAGTTCACTTCTTGTTAGTTATTATTATATATAAGTAAATTTATAATCATAAGAACACGAAACAAACTAGAATAGAAGTTAAAAAAAATATATGATGCTGGATGACGACATTTTGGAAAGACGAATACTGCCTTGCTAAGAGGTCGTATCTACAAAAATTCTGATTTCAAGATTCTTACAAACTTAATAAGCTTACATTTTTTATTATTATAACACAAAATAACAAAGGCCTATTTGGATTAGAAAATATTTACTATAATTATAAGAATAGGTTAGTAAATTATACAAAACTTATTTGCGAAGTTTAAAAAGACGTAATTACCCACATTTACTAAAAATATTCATTCTGTAGATACGACCTCTTATCTTAGCAAGACAAACTTTTATGTTCCATTTAGGGTTTTTAGTTATAAAATTATTATTTTTTTTTTTAATTATAGGTGGGACACCTCAGAGGACAGAGGAATTTGGTACATTAATTAAAAACAATTTTGAAAAATGTTTTTTGGTGGATAGGTACCAGTGAGAACCCTATCAAAAAGCAAGAAAAGCCTGATCTTATTTTAAAATTATTAATTTCTTCAATGAAACTATCCTATAATTCAACCAAAATTAATATATTTATGTCAAAGATCATATTATTATTGTAACAAATTTAGTTGTATTGGATTTAAGAACAAGGTATTATTGAATATAAATAAAGTGTATTTAAAAAAAGGGTGAGATTTCTTATTTGAAGATTATTAATCTTTCAATGAAACTATCCTATAATTCAACCAAAATCCATATATTTATGTCAAAGATCATATTAATATTGTAACAAATTTAGTTGTATTGAATTTAAGAACAAGGTATTATTGAATATAAATAAAGTATATTTAAAACAAGTGTAAGACTTTTTCATTTAAGATATACGTAATACTGCAGTTGAGCAATAGATACTCTTCATTTAATTAGAGGTATTTTGGTTAAGGTAAGTTGATTTTAATCTTGAAGCAAGGCTTATTAGCTATTGTTGAACAAGTATTACTAGAATTTCAAATCAAGACGAGTTTTACTTGCGGATATATAAACACAACAAAGCATTAAAATAAGACCATTCATCTTGAATATAGTACACCTTTTTTTCTGTGTAACACCTTTATCAGCAAATAAGTACGGCGTTGCTAAAAAAGTTATTTTTGTAACGATCCCTTTGGTGGTAGGTTTAGTTATCTTTTATACAGTGAGCATCATAAGTCTTACCCCCCTAACTAACTCGTTACTGGAGTCTTGTTAGGAAAATCGCCGAGACAGGTCGATTTTTGATTTCTACAATGTACATTTTTGCATGATTAGTTTACTCTTAATTTCATCCCTTACTAGAGGATAGCAACCCTTTTGAAAAATTTAAATGGCATGGGGTGGTGAGTGATAGCTCATTTGAAAGGGGGTTTTATTCTCTATTGAACCATGCAAAAAATTTTAAAATTTACTTCATTACGTGTTGATTTATTAATGTTTAAAAATAACAAAACCTCACAAAATAGGAAAGCAACTAGACTAACAGTGACCTTCTAATGACAAAAAGTCTTACTTCACGTCTGAACCAAAACCGAAATCATGCAGGGCCGAATTTTAATTCTAAGGATGAGTGCGCTACGTTAATTTCCGTTATTCTGAAACAACAATTAGTCGAGAATTAATGAAGCAAATTTCAAATTTTTTTACACAGTTGAATAGAGAATAAAACCCTCTTTTAAATGAGCTATTACTCACTACCCCATGCCATTTAAATTTTTCGAAAGGGTTGCTCCCCTCCAGTAAGGGATGAAATTAAGGGTAAACTATTCATACAAAAATGTACAATGTAGAAATTAAAAATCGATGTGTCTCGGCAATTTTCCTAACAAGACTCCAGTAACGAGTTAGATAGGGGGGTAAGACTTATGGTGCTCACTATATACGTAAATTCACTTGTAAAAACAAAAATTGACGGCACGGTTTCTAAAGTTGTTTAATATGGTAGTATTGATTTATAAGTAATATATGCTGGGTCCAATGACCTCTTGAAAATTCTCGATGGTAGTCTACATTTTAAAGGAAATTCAAAAAAAAAGTAAAATAAAACAAAATATTGGATATCGAGGACTTCGTAAGTTTTTATTTTGCATTTTAGTTATTAAAGTCAATGTGAACAGAACAGCTTTTGCTATGTACCCAAAATAATTTAAACTATTTAATTTGGACAATAATATATTGATAATAATCCCAAAGTATAAAATAAAAAAAATTATGAAAACTGCTGTTTAAATAATTTTTCCTAAAATCATATAAAAAAATAAACGAGGTACACTATACTGTGACCCTCGATATGTTGCTTTTTTTCAATTTTTTTTGTATTTTTTTACATAAAAGGACTTTTTAAATGAACTATTTCGATATGAAATCACATTCTCTATAAAAAATTCACGTTAACTATACCTGAATTTTGCTTCGTTTTCGAGATACAATTAAAACTGTAAGGATATCCCTCTATCTCCTCATATCTCAAATTTCCACCCTCTAATTTAATAGCACTTCGCGATTTTTTATATGTAATGACCATTTGAACGATTCATGGGATAAAAACCCATAAAGGTGATCTTTCCTTTCTATAGGACATAATCAATATCCTATGTTTACTTTATCAATAAGGGATTGCTTTTTTTTGTTTCATGGTGGGAATCGCATAAAAGGTTGTATTTTGTCATTTAATATCAAAATTCGTATCCTCAAAACGGTTTCAAGCATTTTCTGATAGCATCTTTAGTTCATAAGATGTACTTGGCCATTGTAATTTTTTTAATGGTCACCCCGGCGTACGTAAATATATAAAGATACACGATGCCAGGTTCTTATGACATTGCGTCAGAGTGGTGGAAAATTTGAGAAAAATATCAAAAATAATTATTTCTCGTTTTCACAAATGTAATACTTATGCCACTTATGTAGGAGGCCAATTTAAAAATTATTTATTTTGCCCTGCTTTAGACAAAAGCAATAAAATGTGACACAACTCCATCTTAATAATATGACAGTTGAGTAGATGCGGATTAGGGTGGAGCGAAAAAAAATATTATTATTTTTTACTAAGACCTAAGAAAAGTTGGCTCTACATAAATTAAGCTATTTTCTGAAATTTCAATTTTAAAATAAATGTCTTCAGGCCTCTACCTCCTCTACCTGCCTCTACAATTTTAAAGAACAAATTCTTTTAATTTTTTTTAACTTTTAATACAAACTGAAAGTTGCCTTTACTATTAGTAAACTATTTCCTAAAATTTCAATTAATAGTAATGTCTTCAGGCCTCTACCTTTCATCAATTTGAAAATAAAATACGTAAAATTCTAGTAAAAAAAAATAAATCAAATGCACCTATTCACAAGTGCCTGGCATCAAACTTTTACATTAATAAAACAAATCCAGAAAATCTCAAATATTATGTCACGAAACTCTTCAAACTTGTTCAATCCAGTTAATACCAGTTTATAATCGTTTATGCACGGCGAATTGTGTAGCTCTAAGCTGAACTCAGTCTTCTTTTGATAGTCGCGGAAGTGAGATCTTTGTTTTAAGTGGTAATGAGTTTGTCAGTGAAGGACACTAGGGGCAGTAGCGGAGCTACTAATTATTCTATATTTGGTGCACCAGCTAATATACCCTCTAATGTTTTGTCAACTGTGGAAAATATCATGAAGCGATATTTGCTTATTCGAAGTGAACTTAAGGTTTTGAGCTCCGGTAAAGACCCTAGTATTTTAGAAATTTCTCAAATGCTTGCGAATGAAATCGAAGTGATCTGGGAAATTCCCACTATCGTAATATACAAATAATTCAAGATATCCTAGGTAAGTATCAAACTCTTATTAGATATCCTATAACTAAACGAAATGACAATTATAAGTTAAAAGTTGAGACATATAAAGACGATTCAAAGAAATTATTCGATATTGCTGCATATAAATAATCTTCTTTTGATACATGTAGCTGTGTTAAAAAACGCAAAATACCAAATATAGAGGAAGAATTTATTCACGATCAACTGTGATAAAATTTGTTATAGGAAAAATGAACGTTACTGAAACAAATAAATTAAAAGCCAAAGAAGAAAGGAAAATTAAGATCAAGGCATATGCAAATCAGCTTTCTTTTAAGTTTGAAGTAGACAATGATAACATTGAAAACTTTGAGCAAGCCAGTATTTCTTATTCATCTGAGTCTGAGATGTCAATAGAGCTTGAGAATTTGACAGAAAAACAAGAAGTTAAGTCAGAGCTTCCACCAACATCAGGTTGCAGTACAAGCCAGCAAATTAGATTGCCTATTCCCAACCTAGCGCTTGCAGGATTTGAGACTTATTTTAAAAGAAACATCGTCTTCAGTTATTGACCGAAGTAAGGTCCAAAGAGCTCTTCAAAAACACCGTTTTGATTTAAAAAGCAAATTCCAAACTTACACTCCGGAGATTAGAGCATTATACTTCGATGAAAGAAAGGATAAAATAATGTGCCAGGAAGAAATTTCATCTCAAAATAAAAATCGAAGAACATATATCATTGCTCGAACAACAGGTACGGAGAAACATATTACCATATCGATAGGTAATTTTCTACAAGAATTTAACATCAACACAAATAAGATTTTAGTAGTAAGCTGAGATGGTATATCGGTTAATACAGGAAGGAAGAATGGAGTTTTGCGGCATTTAAAAGCAAAACTGAAACGTCTGCACTATATGATATGTAAATCACATATGAATGAACTGCCTCTTCGTCATATTTTTCAATATCTTGACGGAAAAACTTCAGAACCTCGTGAATACTCTGGAGCTATAGGGAAAATGTTGGAGTCTTGCGAAAAATTGCCCGTTTTAAATTTTGTTCCTATTGTTAACCCCTTTCCAGAATTAGACGCAGCTATTATGAATCTTAGCACTGATCAAAAGCACTTATATGAAATGTGTTACTCAATTTCTAGAGGAAACTGTTCATTAGATCTAGCAGCTCGTAATCCAGGTCAATTATCACACGCACGATGGCTTACAAAGGCAAACCGTATATTGCATCTTTACATCGGAAGTAAATGTCCGTCTACAAATTTAAAAACAATCGCTGAATTTGTGGTAAAAGTTTATGCGCCAGTGTGGTTTGACATTAAAAGAAAGTCATCGTGTTGTGATGGAGGAAGACACGTCTTCAGAATGATACAGTTGTCACGCTATTTAAACAACGAATTGAAGGTAGTCATCGATCCTGTTATCAAGCGAAATGCGTATTTTTGTCATCCGGAGAACCTTCTTCTAGCAATGCTTTCTGATGATCGTCCTACTATAAGACAACTTGGCTTACGAAGAATTATGAAGGTGCGCACAAAAATATCTACAGACGTAAGGGAATTTGTTATTCCTGGGTTAGAATTTGATGCCAGTGAATATTATGAGCTTATTGATTGTCAAAATTGCTCAGTTACAGCACCACCTCCTTTAAGTACTGCAACTGATGGAGATATCAGAGAAATTATAAACGATACTTGTCCTGTAGATTTTTTTGTCCTTTTCCTGCCCTACACAGGCAGTAGAGAGGTGCGTGAAGATTGTAACAGAAGCTTCCAATTCTGTTATCGGCCATGACTCTAGAAATGGATTTATTCGTGCAAGAATCATACGGAATACAATGCATAACTTTCATATACCTATTTTTTTTGCTCGTCTACGTTATATTGTTAAGTTGTCTCGCTTTCGTTTATAAGCAAAACATATTTAAATTGTATATTTTTATTTGTATTAAAATATTTGCAAAAGTGATAGTATTTCATTTAATACTCCGTTTTATTAGATTATTCGGGAAAATAGGAAAATTCAAGTAAAATTCAAATAAAAATAGCCCGTTAACCATTCTTATATTTAGCAAACTTTTCGCACATTTACGTTTCGAAAATAAAATAAAAAATATTTTCTTCCTGTTTCACTACACCTTAATGCGGATCAGCAATTACCTACACCTACCTATTTTGTAATCTTGCGGTGGTGGCGTCTTTTGGATGAACATAACCAGTGGCTCTAAAACTGCTGGAAGACTCATGCTTGAAGTAATAGGAAAACAGAAAATAAACCTTTATAACCAGTAACATTTTATTGTTGTAGTTTTGACCAGATCAATATTTTACCCCAGAGATTGTGTATCTAATTATAAATAAAATATAATGTATTTTAAAGTTCCAAAAGTGTAAATTTGCTGTATTTTTAGAAGTTTTTTAAGATCTACGTTGTAAAAGTACGATGAAAATTCTGTTAAATCCTAAATTTCAACAATCGTGCGACTTTATCGTGAGAAACGTCACTTGCTGGACCCATTTATCGACTTCTCTTCTTGTCTCTGTCCTACCGGACACTAATTAATTACTTAAGTTTTTGTTGCAAATTACACCTCTTCTGAACTGCCAACAATTAATGATGTCACACTTTTTATTGCTCTTTCAATTAATCACTTCTTTATAAAAAGAATGTTCATTTTCCTAATAGTTAGACGTTTGTTTAATAGTTCTTCGTCTTTTTATTTGTGCAGTATTTAGATGTTTGGTATTATTTTATTAAAACTGTAAAATAATACGTTTATAATTGTTTAAAGAATAATATTTATTACGGAAGGTGAGAACGAGGTTTCAAAACACCAGCCTGTACAAAATTGAACCCAAAATTTGGTTCCACATAAATTTTTAATATAATTAATAACGGATATCGGCTAACTGCCAATACGCAAGCCTATAATGAGATACCTATACAAATTAGCTTGGCTCAATGATAAATAGCGCAGGAAAAAATGGTGTATGACAAAATAGCGTAGATAAAATAGCGCAAGGACAAAAAAAGGCAAGAAAAAAATAGCGAAAGGACAAAAAAAAGGACACGGGTTAGGTAAGTTAGTTTAAGTTTTTTTTTATTTAGAATACTGGCATATTTTGTCCAGTGCTAATTTGTTTCAATCTTTTTGAAAAAGTGGTAACTTAACTTACTATTAATACACTAGGCGGTAATTGATTTTACTTTATTTATATCAGGCGCTAAATTGTCTCTCAAGTATTTGTCGTGGCAAAAATTTGTCGCAATAAATTTGTCTAGCGTGAACTTGTTTCGAGCTAAAATGGATCTTATCTTAAAATGTGAGAGAAATGGAGCAACATTTCAAACATTTTTCACATAGGCATCGTTGGAACAATATTTGTTACGCATTATTTAAATGAATTTGATTAATTAAAGAAACATCTTGGTCGTTACGCGCTATGTTGTCCTTACGCCATTTTGTCCTGCGCTATTGTGTCCTGCGCTATTTTGTTCTTGTGCTATTTTAGCTTTGCGGTATTTTGTCCTGCGCTATTTTGTTCTTGCGCTATTTTGTTCTGCTCTATTTTGTCTGCACTTTTGTCCTGCGCCATTTTGTCCTGCGCTGTTTTGTCATGGAGCCAACAAATAATAAAATTAATTTAAGAAACCTTAGGTCCTACAGTAGTTAATAGTGATATGAAATTAATATGGTGGGGCTTGTACTAAAGTAAATTATGAACTTTACAATTTAAATTGTTCGCAATTATTGGTGTCATTAAATCTGAATGAACAAGCAACCAGTATCATAATGACGATGATGTTATGGAGTAAACTATTCCAGAAGTGTTACAAAACCGTATATAGTATCTGGTTTGGCTGATTTTAAGATAGCTGATGGAATTGAGGCCAATGTAGTGGAAATAGTAGGCCCTCCAAACAAAAGATGTGAATTAAAAATGTGTGTGGGAATAGATCTCATTTAATCAGTTGAATTATCTTCTTCATTTATTGTTCTTTGAAAGCTCTGGCTTAGAATATGTAGCCAAAAAATAATATAATGTATTACTTAATATAAGTCAGAACAATTTCATAGGCCTCTTAAAGAAGATAATAATGCTAACGATCTCACTGATTGTCATCCAAAAGAACCAACCGGAAATCAGTGTATATCAATAAGCTCCACTGTCTAGGTAACTTGTCTACCTTCCCCATTAGCATCTAGTTCAGGACACCTCGATCATCGAAAATTATGGACCAGATACCATCTACTTCGAAACCAACATGTTCTCCATCATCAACGACTTTATCATCACAAATTATAGACCAGTCAACTCCACCTTCATTTCCAAAATATAAAGAAGAACATGTTTTACCACCTAGTAAAAAACGTTTTACTCCGGAGCAAATATGGACTTTACCAAAAGCAGATTTTATTAAACCAAAAAATGTTGGAAGGCAAAAGGGAACGACTGCAGTACTCACTGACACTCCTGAGAAGACGCTAATAAAACAACGTCTTGCTAATAAAAAGACTCAATTTATCAAGAAGAGAGTCATGGAGAAAGCGCCATCTAAAAGCAAACGTGCAAAGAAACGAAGACCTAAATATAGTGAATCCTCATCATCCGAAGAGGAAGACACATTGTGCTTAGTTTGTTCGTGTTAGTACAAAACAAGCTATGAAGACTGATTACAGTGTCGATAGTGTAGAGAATGGGCACATTCTAAATGTGAAAAGAATAATTCTTTTTTTATTTGTCAGAATTGCGACTCTGCGGATTCTGACTATTCTGACTTATTTTAAAATAATTTGCCACTGTATATTAAGCTTTGAATTAGATTTATGTTAATTTTGTTGCTATTTAAAAACTTTTAGAAAGGGTATTGTTACACTCAATAACAATGAAATATTTTTTTAATTCTTTTTGAAGAATGCGTTTTATTTTGTTTGTTTAAAAATGTAATTGAAAATCATTTATTTGATTTAAAAAAAAAACTTAAAAAAATAAAATAAATACATTTGGTAACTATTTTTGGCTTCCAATAAACGGTATCAAAAGGTCTAATTGTTTTATTTGAATTATCTTCTGATATAAGATGCTTGTTACAATCGACACCTAACCCTGTTACAATTGACATCTCGTGGGTCTCAATTGTAACATTTTTCACCAATGTGTCTTTAAATTTTTAGCTAAAAATCCTCATTTTTTTTTTAACTTTAAAAATACCAGGCCACTCATACAATAATACATTTATTTAAAAAAAAAATGATTCCGCTAGGGCTTACTATAAGGGCAAAACAAATATAATGTAATTTTTGTTACAACCGTCACCGATATCCCATACTTTAATGATTTATTCACCATTTTAATAGGTGTTAGAATAAGTTTATTATGTGATTTAGAGGTTTTCAAACCTGGTTTTCTGTTCATAACTGATATTTTGCTTGTAAATAATAGGTTTGTTCCAACAAGCGGGAAAACGGTAATATTTCGGTATAAATCATGCGCTGTATTCAATTTTTGTAAACAGCGCATTTATTCTGCTATATTATCGTTTTCGCGCTTGTTGGAACAAACCTATTAGTTATATTATGATACGTCAAAATCGAATTAGGAAATATTGCTCGAAAGACATTTTCTCGAAAAATAATTGCTCGAAAACATTTGCTCGAAAAAAACATTTGCTAGAAAAAACATTTGCTCGAAAATATATTTGCTCGAATAAACATCTTGACGTAAGTATATTTGCGCCCAAGATCTTTTTGTCGAACGAACAAACAAACAATTGATCGCGTATATTGTACGGACGGATATGATCTGAGATGAGAAATATCTTCCTAGTATTCTAATTAAAATTTAAATAAACAAACAAAATTTTAACTAATTTACTCAACCTGTGCGGCTGGAGTCATTTAAATTTTGTAATCTAGGTTTCTGCGAAAATGCCTTTATAGGCTCGGTGATGTAAACCTTTCGATCAATTGCTTATTCGTGCAAATAAATTATCGATGAAATGATATTTAGTGCATATGTTATTCGGTATGAATGTATTTTCGAGCAAATATATTATCGAGCAAATGTATTTTCGAGCAAATGTGTTTTCGAGCAAATATTTTTTCAAAAAAATACATTTTCGAAGTAATGTGTTTTCGAGCAAATGGTTCTCGAGAATGTTTTTCAAGAAAAATTTTTCGAGAAAAATTTTTCGAGCAGTTCCGTAATCCTACTAGAATTTTGCGAAGCTTTGACTGAAGTATTATTTGGGCTTAAAAATTCATATTTCGTACTATTTTTCATGTCGTTCAGTTAGTTGTTACAGTTTATTTCTATAGCACATACTTTAAAAAGTCTTTTCAAAAATGATTTATTTGGGTGCGTCAGTCACAATAGTTATTTTATATTTCATACCGAATAAAACGTCTTTTAACCAGAATAGAGTATTATTCTTAAATAGTTTCCATCAGCAATAATGGATCAAAGGTTACGCCATATTTAAATGTAACCGTTTTGCTGATTCAGTAGCCAAGAAGATAGGTATCCAAATACTTTTTGGACCTGCTTCTTTCATTGGATTGACAATATCGGTCTTGACAAACTTAATTAAAGATCATTTTCTTGTGAAATTAGAGATAAAACAAGAAACTGCAGAGTTTTCAGGAAGCTTTTAAGGTATGCCGACAACACTATAACAAATATGACTTGACAGAATCTGCACCTGATCACAGACATTTTGACTGGTCAATGCCAAGTATTGTATTAAAAAAAGTAATTAAAAAAAAAAATGTTTTAATAAAGAGAAACAGAATTACGAAAAGAAGTAAATAATAATAAAATGAGTAAAAATAATGAAGATATTAGGAAGAAATTGAAAAAACAAAATTTTGAAAAGATAAAACACAGTCTTGTCTTTTATAAAACAATATAAAGGGGAAAAGAAACAATATAATATGATCAAGATAATGAAACGTAAAGATAATATAAATATTAAAAATAAGTAGCAACATTTAAAACATATAGAATAAATAAGACAATTATAAATAGAAATAAAAGTGAAATAAAAATAAAACAAACAAAGAAAATGCACGGAAAACAGACAGGAAATAAAAATAAAAGTATAAAATCAAAGAAAAACAGAAGTATAAAAGATTTGTGTTCGGCCGATATAAGAGAAGTACCTCTTGGCGACGTTGTCAACTACATTAAATCTGTAGGCAGGGCCACTGAGAGCCAGGCCGGGCCGGGCCACAGAGCAATTCTCTAGATCGGGCCCCGTGACAAAAAAACTCTTCAAATAAAAACTTTTCCTCTTCTATTTGAATTGAATTTTCTAAAAAAAAAAGGTCCCTAACCAAAAACTTTTTGCCGGGTCCCTATTTGAGTCCGGGCCCCGGTAATTAGTTCCGGCAACCCCCCCTCTAGTCGGCCTTGTCTGTAGGATAGCTAACTCCTATTATTACAGAACTAACAGTTTAGCGTATTACAGTCATCGGACTATACAATTAGAAATGTAAATATTAACTAAAATAATTTAAAATCTGCCGATTAGAAATTTTAATCATTTCTAAGAAAGTTGAAGGCTACTTAAATTGATCTTGAATTTTAAATTTTTTCTACCTGTACATACTTGCCTTATTTTTGATGATTAAAATTGCTAAAAAATTTAAGACAAAAATTGAAATAAATTGGTATTTTTAAAAATTCTAGGAAGAAAACCAAAGATGTTATTTTGAAACAAATAATTCTAATTATATTTTATCTGCTGGGTCATAGAAATTTTGTTATCATACATTTTCAAATAAACTATGTCCGTATCCTTTTCCATGGTCGTATCTTAAATTGGTGCATATTACGGCGTTTTATATTCTTGTTGATCTGTACTAAATTGTGATTTACGTTGTTTTCGGAAAATCGTAGGTAAGCCATTAAGTCACAGAACAATTGATTTCTTTCTGAAAAAGTACTTGTTCCGAGCTTTCAAACTAATAAAAGGCGGACATTTTAAGTGGTCCATACTGTATATGCAGAAATTCATTTAAAATTGATTTATTGAAAGTGCCGCAGACTTGCAGAATATAACGGTTAATGAAGTTGATTATTACGATTTAAAAATAATTGTGTGTAACGGAGCGATGTAAAAATAATTAACAATAATTAAGATCATTAGCATTTTCGAACAAAATAAAACCAATACTCGCTCATTTTCCCTGTAATTTTAAGACAATCAATTCGTTCCAGTCTTGTCTTTATCAAAGAGAATCTACCTATATAGTTAACCCTTTGTCTCAAACCTTTGGCTTAATTTTATTAATTTGCTTGGGGTTTTAATCGATTCCGAAGAAAATTTAATTTTCGTTTCTACTTACCTACGACACGTCGTTTTGGGAGTGTAACTTTTACACGTTTACTGTTAGTAATGCTAATTTAGATAAAATAGGATAGGTATAAAATTTGTAGCCAATAATTGGCGAAAAAAAAACACTTAAAAAAACAATCAAACTAAACTAAATTTACCTTATGAGGCCAAAGGTCGAAGAATCCTTTGCAAAGGACCCTCTTCTCTCCCCCAAGTTAAGCCAACAGAGGAGGACGTCGAGCTAGAAAAAATTGCAACCGATGACCTCCAGCAATAAAACACCGAGGAGACTCACGAGAAAATCCCCTCCCCATTTTCGGAGGAAGGGATGGTTAAAAAAAACTACCTTGCTGCCCAAACTTCAACGGAGAACCTGAAAGCAATTAAAGAAGTAACAATCATGCAATGTAACTTGCACTACAAAACGGTTATATATTTTCTTTTACTCTTTTTCTTACTCTCTTCTTTTCCTATAAAACTTCAATTTTAAATGATTTGCATACATTCACCTTTATCTATCCTGTTTCCTTTTATTCTTGCTTTGCATCCGTTTTTCTTTTATTTTATACTTTTATTTTTATTTCCTGTCTGTTTTCCGTGCATTTTCTTTATCTGTTTTATTTTTATTTCACTTTTATTACTATTTATAATTGTCTTATTTATTCTATCTGTTTTAAATGTTGCTACTTATTTTTAATATTTATATTATCTTTACGTTTCATTATCTTGATCATATTATATTGTTTCTTTTCCCCTTTATATTGTTTTATAAAAGACAAGACTGTGTTTTTTCTTTTCAAAATTTTGTTTTTTTAATTTCTTCCTAAGATCTTCATTATTTTTACTCATTTTATTATTATTTACTTCTTTTCGTAACTCTGTTTCTCTTTATTAAAACATTTTTTTTTAATTACTTTTTTTTATCTTAAGGCTAAGTTCAACGCGTTGTCAATGACAAGTGACGGCGACTTTTTTATCACAAGAAATACAGCTCTAAACGATAATATTTTCAAAAACTGTTTTTAAAAATGGGTTCAAAATACTGTAAAGAATGGTGGAAAGTCTTAGTTTTACTTTTAATGCATCATATTTTAATAAGTGATATAAAAAACCACCTTTATACCCATACTTTTTAATTTTTTATGGCGGGTTGTACAATAGGCAGTTAAAATGTAGACTCAGTTTAAACTGTTAACCTTGTCGTATACTCATCGGTTATTGTTAAACATAGTTTTAAAAATGACATTTATTTTTGAATATATTTAGTTAAAAATAAAACTCTTGTTAGTTAAAATAAGTTTAGAATATTTT